GTTATTACAATTTATATCACTTTTCAAATAGTAAATTTAGGTTCCTCTTTTTATGCCAAAAATATATATTTAATTCACACTGTTATACAACTGTTTAACTCAGTATTGAATTATAAGTGTAGGTTGTTACTTATAAAGTTTCAAATTTTGATGATATTCTCTACGTGTTATGCTGTTATTGTGACTAATGAAATTATTATACTGTAATTTTTTTTTTATGAAACCTTTTCCCAAATACAAATGTACAGACATTTATGAGTAAACAATTTGATTTGATTTCAATTGACTAGTAATTCTGGCTGGTCTAAACACACTGCAGAATGCACATCTTAAAATATTGTATATTTAAATCCGAAACTTACCATATATCTTACAATTTGAATGGTGACTAATATACTAGTATACCTTAGCACAAAAATTAAAATGGATAGACATATATAATAAAATAACTTCACTATCCTGACATTTGCACCAATTTCTGAGTGACGTTATGTCACAGTCTTGAGACCCTTGAGCCTCCTTATACCGACGAGTGTCTGACTGCAAGACGACCATACAGTGAGGCCTCAAGATCATGGTATTTGAATCTGTTTTCGAGGTCAAACTTGGGATCCAACAGTTTCACCGTGTGTAAAATTCTCCCCGACTAGGTTGACGCCACTTTAGAATCGTATTTTTCTCTGCTTAGAAGACGAGACCAAGATCCTGACACGAGTCTAGTAGAGTCGTGTCAGGAGTTTAGAGTATTTTGAATGTTGGTATTCCCTTTGGTATGCATCTTTTTATCATAAACCTAGCAAATGAAGTTCGTTGGGTGTTAACCAGACCACACACTAGAAGGTGAAGGGACGACGACGTTTCGGTCCGTCCTGGACCATTCTCAAGTCCCACAATCGATTTGAGAATGGTCCAGGATGGACCGAAACGTCGTTGTCCCTTCACCTTCTAGTGTGTGGTCTGGTCAACATACTTCAGCCACGTTATTGTGATTCATCGCCTGCATTCGTTGAGTGTACTAGGCACAGTTCATTTAAAAATTAAATAATATTGGGCTGAGGACACCTTTCTGTTGGGTGCCTAGTTCAAAGTCTGTTGGTACACTCCTATACCCCTTGAAACAATATTGACGACTTCCTGTTTGATAAGTAACCTTAGATACAACAAAGAAATCGATCACCATGCAGCCTCCAATCTGGAGCGCTCACTCAAAATGACGTCGGCTTATCATTGTTGCAGGTTGACTAAAGACCAAGGAAAGTGGTTTAACTTTTCAACTTGCAGGGGAAGGAGAAATGATAATGAAATGATTCACACTCCTTCCTTGCAACTTCTAATGATACATTAGGAGATACATGTCCCTCTAATAATACATATCGAACACATGTTCGAGGAGAACACAGTTCTTATTCAATAGTGGAAACTGTGTGGTCCATACACAAAGAGAACGCCAGCTGACCCTAACACCCATACACTGATACTCTGATCATTTAAGACAATCTAAAGTACTGTTGTCATATCACACATAGTAAGAACGTTAACCACTTTATCAGTGCGGGAACAGGAAGCTGAAAGCGCCACCCACCAGCTGTACCAGCGGTCACAACACACATGTCCACTGAAAACGTTTAGTAGTCCCAAAATCAAAACATAGATGGCATTCAGAACATGAAGTCATCTGTGTCATCACTGAACATGTAAACAAAAAATGCATGGCAAGAAGAAGAGAGAAACCAGGAGGAAGAGGACCAGATAGATAACGAAGTCAGAAACCGAAAATAGCGACAACTTTCTCCTCTGCAAGTGGTACCAATATCAGACGGAACCACTTGTGTACTAGTGTTACCTCCTGGCACAACCTTACGGGACTCTTCAAGTGGCTTCAAATGACAATTAAAAGAAGTCTATGAATTGATCGTTGTATATCCAGATACATCCTGTTGTATATCCCGATACATCCCGTTGTATATCCCGATGCGTCCCGTTGTATATCCAGATACATCCCGTTGTATATCCCGATACATCCCGTTGTATATCCAGATACATCCCGTTGTATATCCAGATACATCCCGTTGTATATCCAGATACATCCCGTTGTATATCCCGATACATCCCGTTGTATATCCCGATGCGTCCCGTTGTATATCCAGATACATCCCGTTGTATATCCAGATACATCCCGTTGTATATCCAGATACATCCCGTTGTATATCCCGATACATCCCGTTGTATATCCCGATACATCCCGTTGTATATCCCGCATGTCGGGTTCGTTCTCGACTCACAATCGGGAATTCAGAGTTCAAGTTCAAGTCAGGACATAAATGGCTGGGCACGTTTCCTATCACCTAATGTTCCTGTTCACCTTGCAATAAATCTGTACCCAGGAGTTACTTAGCTTGTTATGGGGTCGCATCCTGTGAAGGGTCAATAATTCGAATATGGGTGGGACCTCGATATAAGCCTAACCTGGGTGCCTGACCCTCAAGAAAATCAATTAAATGAGTTGCAGTGCAGAAATTCGACTGGAATTTAAATTACGTAATTTAATTTATTCCATCTGATTAATAAGTGGTGATGGTTCAATGCTGCTAAAACTGTGTGGAATTTTAAAATCCAGCTAATAAAAATCAAGACCAATGGGGATCCTTTGACAAGCCCGTGGCTCTCTGTCCTCTTCGAGGACCGTAGTGAGTTACTTGCCCTCAGTTAAAAATATATTGATGGTCGAACTTCTTCGGTGCGGCCTGAAGAGCCGAAGGCATGGAAGCCCAGATTCTATGAGTCCGAAGTGAAAACGGTGTCAAAGAAAACATTAAAGCATCGTAGACTAAAGAGAACTGGGCAATGGCAGACGTTCTGGTCAAAGCCAACTTGTGTCACGACGGTGGGTCGTCCAGCCAAAAATAAAATTGTCTCCTAAGGCCGGAGGAGAAGTTGTAAGAAGGAGTACGTGGAAGAGTAGCAGAACAGAAGAGAAAAACCGAGAAATCCAACGGGAAAGAATAATTTGAAATTCTTTACCACCTAATCAAGAATGAAGGATAAGAGAAAACGGACATAGAAAATTGAGGAACAAGGTAGCCTAAAAAAATACGTAAAAAGACAGATAAATGTATATAAAAGTAACTCAAAGAACCGAGAGAAAAAGAAGAGGGCCATAAACTGAACATAAACAAATAAGTGAAAGGATCAAGGACGGCCGATATGCAGGCGACACAACAAGAGTGATGAGTTGTGAGATTAAACAAGGGAAAACATGACAGGAGCATAAGGAAGCACAATAATGTTAAGGTTTCTCGGTATTCCCGCTCGTTTTTAATGTTGGCAGCCGGGCCCAAGCTCTAATAATATTGCTGATAAATAAAATACAACCCCAAAAAATATAAACACATGCATTCAGAGATAATAACATGAATTATTAAATTATAAGAGAAACGAGTCAGAGAAAACGGAAAAGCAGGGGAAACTTAATGAAAAGAACAGGCAACTGTACACAAAACACAGCATTATTTTTAAACAATAATTTAAAACTATCTAACATTACTCATTGAGCTATGTAATCATGAGCACAGAGCCCTCAGCTGTTATGAATAGAACGCAATCAAAGCTTAAAAGAATAAGTAAAGTGATTTGAGGATACCCTACATGAACTGGAGAACTGGAGACTAGCGTGTTAGAAGGATACAAATATCCTAAACTACTATATTCTCTTGGTATGTATTTTATTATCACAAACTTACTTCAATTTGAATAAATTATGAGCTGGGATATGAGGACAGGTTTGAGCGTGGATATTATAATAAATAATTCATTATGCATATTCATTATGTCATTTCATTAAATAATGTCATTATGTCGACCCATATGTGAATTCATTATGAATTCATTATAAATCATTCATTATGTAAGGAGGCCTGGTCGACGACCGGGCCGCTGGGACGCTAAGCCCCGGAAGCACCTCAAGGTAACCTCAAGGTTTACCATGGTCTAAATATTATATTATTTATGTCGGGGGGACAGGAAGCCAGAGTGTATTCATACACGTTTTGGCTTTTATCGAGCCCCCCCCCCCCACAACCCCAAAGGTCGAATTACTGACCTCGCCCAGGATGCAACCCCACAACAAGCTGATTAATTCCTGAGTATCTACTGACTGCTAAGTGAACAGCAGCATTAGGTGAAAGGAAATATGCCCAACCATTTCTGTCCCACCTGATGTTAGATAGTTTTATATTATTGTTTAAAAATAATGCTTGCGTATCTGAGTATCTACTGACTGCTAGGTGAACAGCCGCATTAGGTGAAAGGAAATATGCCCAACCATTTCTGTCCCACCTGGGATTCGAACCCAGAATTCTCGATTGTGTGTCGAGAACGAACCCGACAGTATTATGAAGATTGATTAAGAGCTGGGATGCTAGGACAGACTACCGGCAAAGCACATCAATGATAAATTTTACCTGAATTTTACCCGAAGGCCAGCATGTCTTTAGTGGTTGGGAGGGGGACAGGAAGCCGGCGGCTTAATAATAATCATCCATTTTTCTTGGGGGCAATACGTGATCGTCGAGTCCTACCATCACATTGAGACCACAAACCAAACTTCTGAGGAATCTGACGTGGCATCCTGAACGTTCAGTATACTGTTCATTTGATCCTGGTCATCACTATTATGATAAATCATCAGATCCATAAACCACCCAGATATGTACACGTGTCCATCACACATTCACACTCATCAACATAAACACATATAACCCACATTACTACTCAGACATATAATAATAACACCGAAGCACTTTTGGACACGTATATAATACAAGGCAGGTAAATGTGATCAGATCAAGGACAGCCTCGGACTCGCTTGGTTATGATGGATTGCCTGCTGCAGCTGTTACGAGCCTTTCGTACCTGCATGAACCACGACTCTTTAATCAGGACACCTCTCATGAGAGTTGGGATGAGATGGATAACCTCCTTAATGTTGTGAGGATTTTATTTCGTCTTCAAACTAATGGTTCGTTTAACACTTCATCCCACTGTCCTATAAATTGCTTCTAGTGCACTTGTATGCAAAACAAAATGATTAGAAGTTGCCTTTGGGCTTGAAGATGTGGACATTGTTTACCGTGTTAGGTAGAATATATATTCAATAAAAGAGCATTGTGTGATCTAAGTTTAATAATGGGCTGTAAAATTAGTTATTTACTAATGAGGATTTATTAAAAATAGCTTCAATGAGATGCATTAGAAAAATTTTACATGGGACAAATTAGATTAACAATTGTTAATAAGGATTTATACCCAAATGCCGTTATGATTCGTGACCGCTGAGACTGCAGATGCAAGAATTTTAGCAGCAGTAAACCTGTCAGAGTGGAGACCCAGGCGCAAGTAACACAGTTATGGCTCACAAGGATCACATCTTCAGGGGGGAATCTCTTGACAAATGTCTAGCATACTGGTCGTTATTTTTATTTTTCCCCCCCAGTGTTGGCGTTCGATCCCCGATGATCTAAGTGGCTGGGCACTGTTCCCTTACTTGTCCTCATATCTCAGTTCGAGACCCGGTTCCATTTCTCTCCCAACCTAAGCACTTTTTCTAGATGATAATCTTTCCATCTGGGTATAGTGTGTGTTCGTGCAGGTCGCTGAGGGGAAAAGCAGTCATTCCTTCAGTAACTTGGAAGAATATTCTAATATTTTTCTTTATCGCTACAACTCTTATTAGCCTGCATTTACAACACAATTTTCCGGTGACCTTAACCTCAAGATAAGACACTGGAATCAATCTCAACTATACAACTAAAGTAGTTTTCCGAGCATTTTTACATGTCTTGGTCTGCACTCTTTATTCAGTTCATATTTTTGTCTCAATCAATCAAGGTCCCTGGAAACACAAACCGAAACTGTCTATTTTCAGCTTGTTACAACTTGCAATAAAGTTGTTACATCTTGGCTTATCGTGTTTATGACGTATTAGAGCGCTGTTACAACTTACTATATTGGTTGTTATAACTGGTTAGGTGTTAAAACTTGTTCGAACATTGTACCAACGTCGTAGTTTCGGTGTGTGTTTGGCGGGGTGTCGCTATTGTTGGTGCCGAGTGACGGCCACTAGACACAAGAGCCGGGGGTACAGGGACTCCTCACGGGGCGCTTAATAAAGACTAAGAAGGTAAACTGCAAAAAACTATATACAGCGGATGCACATTGGCTTACGAATGTCCTACACGTCAGACGAATTTGACTACTACATAAAATATACATGTAGAAGTTTAGAGCATGGTTAAGGATTTCCAGGTCATTAGCCAGGGCTCTGAACACCTCATACTTAAACGCAGATGAAAGGTAGTCGGTATACATTGCATTAAATATTCCCACAGGCACCATAGTGATGAAGAAAGTGAGCACCACCGCAGACAGGAGGTAGACCAGGTTACTTTCTTCAACCATTTTACCTTCCCCGGGTGTTGAAGCATTCTGCGAGGAGCTGCCCAAAACCGAGTTAACTATCATTTCTTTCCGTCTCTTGCTCAATCTGATAAAACTTCTGATTGTCATAGCGTTCAGAACAGTTATCACAACGATTGGGATGAATGTGACTATAGTCTGTCTGCTCCAGGAGTACATTAGGTACCAAGGTTCCGCTAGTGTGTCATACCTCATGCACGCCACCCACCAGGTCTCGTCGTCGTCAGGGGGCTCAAAGTACGACGACTCACAGTCGCCGGCGTCCACTGGCGTCTTGAGGAAGCAAACGGGTAACCACACAACGGCAGAAACCACGAAGGTCAGGAAAAGTGCTTTGTAGGCAAATTTTGGACTGTGTATAGTGGAAAATTTGGCCGGACGACAGATGGAGTAGAAACGATCCACCGTCACACAAACCACCGTGAACACCGAAGTGCTCATTGGGACGTTGACAAAATAATTTTCCAAGTAGGAGTACCAGACAGCTGTAGTGTAGGAGCGAGTAGCTTCTTGGACGATGTGCACAAACACAGATATTGAACACAGCAGAGCTATCAAGTCACTTGCAGCAAGGATGACGAAGTACTTGTACGTCACGCCTGAGGACAAAGAATTTCATATTTATCCTCAAGAAAGGTATACTATGTAATCTTGAATTAAAAAAAAAACGGCATTCTATATTAAAACTATTATATCATTAATTCAAAATTATTATAAACTGATAGTGATTAAAGAAAAATTGTGTTAAAACAGAGACAAAAGATTCATTTGTATCTTAAAACATCAATCTTCCGCCTTACCTCTGAATTTGGGATTCCAGAGGATTAGAATGGTGAGCAAATTCCCAACTATGCCGGCTGAGATAATGATTGGGCTCACTATACCGTAAGCCAGGTAGTGAACCTCCACTATCCTAGTATCGATGGTGTTATTTTCTTGATTTTGAAACCATCGGACTCCAGTGTCTGGCGGATATTTACAACAATTGTATCTGATACGTTCTCATAATACGCTACGTTATGTGAAGGTTATGTAGTTCTCTCAAAGAAATATCTACACATAGTATGAATTGTTAATCATGAAATAGAGCTCTGAGGTATCAATTATTCTTTTTTTGTGTGTATGTTCCCATTCCACGGTCATTTTGTCGAGCAAAAATTAATAAAATCCTCAAATGTCGTGGATAATGAATGGGTTATGCCTGCCTGGTCAGCCATCACATGTACCATATCAACGGCAGTGCGTGTGTAACCATCACAACGCGATAGGCAACAACAATAGCATAAAGACAGCGGCCATTATTTATAGTTTATGGTTGTGATCCCTAAAGCAGAATACTCACCTAAACCCATCCTGGCTGTAGGTCACATTCACCTGTTGCTTACTCTTCCCGCTGCGGTCTGCTCCAGTGGACCTCTTGGCTGGCGGCGGCGGCTGGCTCGCTCTCTTCTGCGTCTCAATACATTTCTTCCTGCACAAGACGGGAGGAGATGAGCCCGACCCCAAAAATCAATACTGAATGGTTACATGGCATGAATTTGATGTGTGTTGTGGGGAAACTAACCAATTAAAAAATGAATCGTATATATGAGATGTGAAAACATATTAACAACAAGGTTAAAGTTCCTTGCATAGATTCGAAAGCCAATACACTTGGTGTTGTTGTGTGAGGTAATGGAGCAGCACAATCTCCTGCCCTTAAATTAAGGAGCACAATAATTTTCAGTGTTTGCTTGACCCATATGTTTGTGTAATGGAAGGGGGGTATCGAGCAGGAAATACCATGTATAGTGAACAAGAAGTATCGTGCATTTAGAGTAAGATGTGCCTATAGTCTAACATTGTTTTCACATTGGGTGACATTTTCATTGCCTTGTATTGCTACAACTCCGAGTGGCAAGTCCTACATTAACTTCCTCCCACACACAATGCTAAATCCAACACAAGTCCTAACATTTCACACAAAAAATATCCTTGATAGCAAGTGTTATTTGATGATTTTCTATACAGATCGGAGGAAAGAGCATTGTCTATTATTCTCCTTAAATTTGGAGTTGAGCCTTTCCTCTGACAGCTTAAGGGAAAACAATGTGAAAATGTGTCATGACTCTAGATAAGAAGTCGGCAGCCTTCAAGCACCATCAAGGCGTCTTACCTAAGCTGTCTGACGTAAGGGTCAAGGCAAAGTTTAAGGTGAATAAAGGATACTTTGGAGGCATCAGCAATCAGGAAATAACTCTTACTCCCAAGGAACAACAACTTCGTTAGGGTGTAATATGACCAGGAACAACACCGCGTTGTATGTGTGTCACGGAACCAGATGCAAACAAGACTGCACACGCAGACCTGAACACGGGTTTTTCCTCGGACCTTATCTCTTAACATCGCTCACGAAAGCATTAGTGCTCTGTAGAGCGGTTGAGGCAGGAAGCCGGTATCGGGCCCTCACTTCCGGCGCTTATCTCACGTAGAGGCAAAAAATTATGTCATTTACCATCGCTGATAAGACGTCCTACATAGATGCATCATCGCCCAGCGGCCGTGTGCGGTCAACACAACACACCAAATTTGAACACAACTGCGAGTACAAAAGACTAACATGATTTTATATCACGAAAGTAACTCTGAAGAGAATGACAAGATACGAATTTAGAGATGCATGAGAGCTTTTACAATATATATATAGAGAAACTAAATTTAATTATACTCATACAGTAACCTGTAAATATGTCTATGCTTCTGAGTAAATTTCCGCTGTTCAATACAGGCAGCGAGACGGAATATTGAGGTTTTCATATATATATATATATATAGGGCCAAGTGGCCTAGTAGTCGGCATGGTCGTGTCGAAAGGTCTCGGGGTTCAGTTCCCGCAGCACGACTTCAGAGTTTGGTCAATGTATCATTTCACCTGATGACTCTGTTCACCCAGCAGAATGTAGGTACGCGGGAGTTGGGCAGCCGTTATGAGTTGTATCAAGGGGAAAGGTTAGTAGTAAACCTATGGTAACGTCAATAACCCTAACAGATATCCTGTGGTCCAATTTTGAACCCCCCCCCCAAAAAAAAAAAATGGTGCCAAAAGTTCGGCTCTGCCTTTGAATCGAACCCAGGTCAAGACGGTTGTGAGGCGTCTGCCTAAACGCTTATGTTAGAGAGCGCTGACGCTGTACAGACTCTCCTGTATTTAAGGCAGGACCTTTGGTCTTCACACCAGGAATATGGTGACTTTGACAAGAACACACACACACACACACACACACACACACACACACACACACAACATGTCCAACTAGGAAACTTGTGACTCTTTCCTCAATCACAGCTACTTAAGTTTTTATTAAACAGCTTACGAGCATGGAAACTGCGCTAGGTCGTTCTCTACCTCCATGGTTATTATCGTTCTGAACAAACTCGTAGACTTCCGCTGTTCATAAACTGTTTAATAAATGGAAACTCGGCCGCCATGACCTGGGAAACACAAGATCCCGTCAACACGCAATGTTGGAGTAGCCTCCGGAGGTCAGGTCGCAGTGAGGGCCAGACCCGCCATCTATGTGTTCTCTGCCTCATGAAAGAAAATGAGATTGTCAGCATGTAAAGTAAATAACTGCGGTGGATGAAGCAATCAACCAGAGGATTATATGACTTAGTCGTAATGTCAACCTAAGATATACAACTATGATATTGCTTCCCCGCCCCCATGTATAATGATGATGAATGGTATCCATCGTCAAAAAACTCTAACAAATTATATATATAATATAATCATAAACCTTTGTGGATCAGGATGGGAATTACTGCCAGATTGATTGATAAGTTATCGTACTTACGTGTAGCGTCGCCTTCCCCGAAGCCCTTGCTACACAGGCCATAGAAGAGAGCGCCGGCGCAGCAGTGACAATTGTGTAACTAGCTTCACAAGACTGTTACTTGCTTAGCTAAACGAACTGTGTGGATCAGTTCCTGAACCGATTGTGCGCCTCTGTAACTCTTTCCACCACCGCCCACGGGATGGGTATGGGGCACTAAATCAAGAAAGAAATTTAATTGTATAGGAGCAGCAGTATACCCGCGTCCTGTGCTCCGTGAGGCAGTCAACAGCTGAGTGGCGGCGGGTGTAAGCTGCCTCACAACCATTCTCCAGACTCATGAGTTATCACCCATCTGTTCCTCTATTTTGTGAACCTATTTTGCATGTCAATACAAAAGATAATCTTAACAATATCACGGTGTTCAGGATGTCATTTCAATTCTATTGTGAATCGAGATAACAAGGCCAGCTATAGAAACAAAGGAGTTAAACAAAATATTAATGGCATCAAGAAACTGTCATGAACTTCTTAAAACAAACAACAGAGGTTATAATTGGGGAAACCAGTCTTCTATCTGACAGCCTCTTGTTCGGTGCACTCGACAATAATTAAAAGTGTCCATCATGAAAATAAATGTGATTGGTTGACGTTAAGCAAAACACTATGTAATGTGTTTTTTGTTTTTCAAATGTCAAGAGTGCGTCGGTAGTCAACCCCCATGTGGACATTTTAGGACGTGAGTAGTCACTGTCAGTATAAGATAAGCGGGTTTGCCTTTGAGAAAATGATGTGCGTTGAACGAGAGGTCACACACACGTTAAACGAGAGGTCACACACACGTTAAACGAGAGGTCACACATATAAGGACGACAGAATTTAGTAATAGTTGCAGTGTTTTCTTCGAGAACTCTGTCGGTGGGGAGTCCCAGTTTTGTCGACTGTAGCATCGTTGGATTTGCATTCTCAGTTCCCGTGTGTGAAATTGACTGAACTTACTGAGTTGAGGTGATCGAAGACTGTCGAGTTCGTGAAAAGTGTGAAAACACACACACACAGTTAATGATCACTTACAATTATCTGATCTTGTTAATGCTGAAAAAAATCTTCGGTGATCATTTCTTTGGATAAGCTAAGACGTTTATTTTCACCTGATAACTCTGCTCACCTAGCAGTGAATTGATACCCTAGATACAAACAACGGTTTCGAATTGCATCCTGGGAAAAGACCGTAGTAGGTCTAAGGGAAACCTCGATATGGATCTACGAAGACAATGGGAATACGGCATTGAAAATTTATTTACATTAGTTGTTCATAGAAAGCAATACGTTTTCTAACATTCTTCTAAAATATTTGCTACAAAAAACGAATTATTATTTTGGGTGACTAATATATTTTGCATCGAGTAAATAATAATAATTCATTGTATTTGGGGACAGGCAGCCAGAGTGTATTCACACATGCTAGGCTTATATTGAGCCCCCTCCCCCCCAAGGTAGTGTTACTGACCCCGCCCAAGATGCATCACCACAACAAGCTGTCTTACTCCTGAGTACATTCGGAATTACTGCTAGGTGAACAGACCATTAGCTGATAGGAAATGGGCCCAATAATTTGTCCAGTCCGGGATTCGAACCCTTAATTCTCGAGTGTGAGTCGAGAACGTACCCGACTGTACTACCTGGACTCTTCTAAAAAACCTGTAGTAACCTGCCAACCCTCACAATCATGGGAAACCACAGGGTGAAGCAAACCTTTTAATTGTGAATCAGGATGCTCAGTAGTAATTTATTGCCAGGATCCAAACTCCACCAAAATATGTGTGTATGTGTGTGTGTGTGTGTGTGTGTGTGTGTGTGTGTGTGTGTGTGTGTGTGTGTGTGTGTGTGTGTGTGTGTGTGTGTGTGTGTGTGTGAGAGAGAGAGAGAGAGAGAGAGAGAGAGAGAGAGAGAGAGAGAGAGAGAGAGAGAGAGAGAGAGAGAGAGAGAGAGAGAGAGAGAGAGAGAGAGAGGGGAGAGATGGGGTGGGGAGATGAGGGGGGAGATGGGGGGGGAAGAGATGGGGGGGGGGAGAGATGGGGGGGGGGGGGGAGAGATGGGGGGGAGAGATGGGGGGGAGATGGGGGGGGGGAGAGATGGGGGGGGGGGGGAGAGATGAAGGGGAGGGGGGGAGAGAGAGGGGGGAGCACTCAGGTATCACCTGAGGACTGTCCTCATATCGCGCGCCTTATCTTCCCGTAGTACCAGACTTAATATGAAGTTGACGGTGAGTGGTGTGAGGCAACATGTACAACAAACTCTCCGGGCGGTTCTCTGCCCAGTACCCTTATTGCTTCTTGTAAACAAACTCAATGCTGGAAACTAATGTTTATGAATAATATTGAGACAAATATATGAGGTTCCATTAGGTGCTGGCATTTGGTGGGGAGGCAGTCAGTGCTCGGGACTCTGGTCAACGGTAGTGTTAGTGGAGCAGGCGGGGAGGGAGGGCTTCGTCGTGGCTATACGATTTTCTCTGTGCCTCGCTGATTTGAGACGACAATCAACAATCATAACTCACAGGTTAGAGTGAGGCTCATGCGGCCACTATTACCTGTACAATTATTTTGACTATTTGAACAATAAAGTCCACATTGTGTGCAACAAATTTTGAAAAGCAGCCGAGAAACGTTGGCAGCAACCAAATTCACCTTTTCATATGAATAATATTGTATGTAAAAGTGATTATTTAGGCCTATGATTGCACATGTTATGAGGTTAGGATAGATTAAGTTTGCTTTATGGTACAATATTTGACTTCTGTGTGTTTAGAATTCCAGTCGTATAAAACAGGATTTTTTGAGGTCCTGTTTACAGCCCATTTGGTTAAACACTCCACCCAAAGCAGCATCAGCAGGTTTCATCATTTTGGAGGCCGAGTTTATTAATTAAATTTTTGTACATATATACAATAATTAATTAACAAGTCGAATTTTCATCAAAATGCAGCGTTAGATATTTGTACTTATTTAGGACTGAGTTTTCAATTTCAATCAAAACTATGCTTTCAGTGTAACAATTTAAATCAACCTATTATAGGCTAGGTATGCAAACGTAGGTAAACATAGGCCTATAATACGTAATTAAAGGTACAAAAGTTATTGCTATTAGGTGCAGTATTATTATATTGGAGGGGGACTGGTAGTGATGATATGACTGGTAGTTATGGAGGGGACTGGTAATGGAGGGACTGGTGGTGTTGGTAGGAACTGGTGATGGTGGTGAAGACTGTCAGTGTAGTACCGGACTGTTAGTCGAGATGGGTACTGGTGGAGAGGACAGGTGGTGGTGTAGGAGACTATTAACATTTACAGTCAGTAGTTGAGTAGTAACCTTGAGGCGTGACCACGGGGCCACTGGGTGTTGGGTGATAAGGAGATCAACAGCGGATGTTTACGTAAGAGAGTGTAATAAGTTGCTGGATATCGTCCGACACCCGCAGCTGCCTGCTTCCGTCGGTGCTTCGACACTAGGCTTCCGTCGGTGCTTCGACACGAGGCTTCCGTCGCCGCCTCGACCCTAGGCTTCCGTCGAGGCCTCGACCCTAGGCTTCCGTCGAGGCCTCGACCCTAGGCTTCCGTCGAGGCCTCGACCCTAGGCTTCCGTCGAGGCCTCGACCCTAGGCTTCCGTCGAGGCCTCGACCCTAGGCTTCCCCGGGTGCCCAATATTTATTATTCAACCCATCTTCCTGGAAACATGGTACTTATAGTGACTGTATCGAAGGTAATAGTATGTAGTGATGGACCACCTGTGAACCAGTTCGAACCTGTGAGTTCGTTCAAAGTGAAGTTAAAACCAAACACCGTATAAGGCCTAAGATATCATGTATTAGAACTTGGATTGCTAGGAGAGGTTAGATCTAATATATATGTTGACGCTAAAAAATAAAGAAATCCGGTTTGTCCAAATTCATTAATACAAAAGTAAATTTTCTGGTTGTCCACATCTATATATTAGTACTCTCGACCATATAATTACCATAAGTACTTTCATTTTTGGAGATCATTGACTCTAGTACCAATTTATATTATACATATATATATATATATATATATATATATATATATATATATATGTCGTACCTAGTAGCCAGAACTCACTTCTCAGCCTACTATTCAAGGCCCGATTTGCCTAATAAGCCAAGTTTTCCTGAATTAATATATTTACTATAATTTTTTTCTTATGAAATGATAAAGCAACCCTTTTCTCTATGTATGAGGTCAATTTTTTTTTATTGGAGTTAAAATTAACGTAGATATATGACCGAACCTAACCAACCCTACCTAACCTAACCTAACCTATATTTATAGGTAAGGTTAGGTTAGGTAGCCAAAAAAAGCTAGGTTAGGTTAGGTTAGGTAGGTTAGGTAGACGAAAAAACATTAATTCATGAAAACTTGGCTTATTAGGCAAATTGGGCCTTGAATAGTAGGCTGAGAAGTGCGTTCTGGCTATTAGGTACGACATATATATATATATATATATACATATATATATATATATATATATATATATATATATATATATATATATATGCATAAAGAGTTAATTTTTCAACTTCTCAGTTGTAAAAATATATATATATAATATATATATATATATATATATATGTATATATATATATATATATATATATATATATATATATATATATATATATATATATATATATATATATATATATATATATATATATATATATATATATATATATATATATATATATATATATATATATATATATATATATATATATATATATATATATATATATATATATATATATATATATATATATATATATATATATATATATATATATATATTTTTACAACTGAGAAGTTGAAAAATTAACTCTTTATAATTAATTCTACACGTTTATTATTGCCTGATGCAACGAGATGCGTTTCGTTCAGAATGGTAACTTCGTCGCTGACGTTAAATCCCTTAAGGTATCCTTGTTAGACGACCACCAAGCATTAACTTAATTGGCATCTTCACAAGTTTTACTTCGACCCATTCAACTGTACACTACTCTTACATTAAAGGCCCATAAGAGAACACTTCTTCCAGTCTCCATGACCGCTAATTATTGCGCCGTTACCAAATACTACCTCAAGAAACTTCCACTAAAATTAAATTAAATTGTTAACGAAATCATCAAATAATTACACAGTTTTCTAAAATAATAAGATTTATTTCACTAAAATTCAAGAGTTATTCTCGATATTTAATACAATACTTCAAATAAGAAAATTATTTGAAATAGTCGAGAAAGCAGCTAATGTTTTGTCTCAGACCATCAATGCTCATTCTACCTGGCAAACATGATCGTCAAAGAGTTTCTTGTCTCATTTTAAAGAGCTTTTGATATCATACATAATCGATATATCAAAGGATGTTGAATCTCGTTCTGATTGCCTTCAGGCTGACGAGGTTTGGGTGTGCACAGAATATTTCGTCTATGAAAGCTATTCACGGGAATCTTTTTTTGGTCAAAACTCCCTTTTTTTTATACCCCTTGCTTATAACCATCATTATTAAACAAAACTAATGATTGCGATCTTCCAAATCGTTGGTTTCTCTGTTTTACCTTCCGTCATTTGAAGGACTAGTAAATATATATCAATGTGTGCAGGCGATGAGTCACAATAACGTGGCTAAAGTATGTTGACCAGACCACACACACTAGAAGGTGAAGGAACGACGACGTTTCGGTCCGTCCTGGACCATTCTCAAGTCGACGAAACGTCGTCGTCCCTTCACCTTCTAGTGTATCAATGTGTATCACGAGGGTCTGATTAACACCTTTTGTGCCGTCTGTAATAATTTTTGTGCTACCGCTCACTGGCAGAGTAAGGGGCGCACAATAAACTAGCCGCTTCGGGTGGAAATGCTAATAGGAAAAAAAATGGGTCAGTAGTTTACAACTAACCGACGGGTCCTAGCCGGCATGGCGTTCACCAAGGTTGCTCCACTGTCATCTTAGTCTAACATTTGCGTTGAAAAGGAAAAGTTCCGGAGGCTGTATATATATTCTTGCTTTGAGCATTGTAAAGCTCAGATTTTAGAGTTTTTTAAAGTGCAATAAAGCTTTCGCGGAAGAATTTTTATTTAAAATTCGTAATGAAAATATAGTATTCTTTAAGATCGTTACAGTTCTGTAAACAATCTTTGTTTATTTCTGCAGGTGTGCGAGTCTGTGAATGTGTGTATAAGTGAGAGTTTGTGACTAAGTTTGAGTATATGAGTAAGTCTCTCTGAATGCGATTCTTTATACAGATATGCTTGTGATTTAGTGTGTATATTTAGTGTGTATGTAGCTCTGTATGAGTCTTGATTCTCTAGATGTACATGAATCAGTGAAGTATAGAGTCTGGGTTCTTGAATATGTATGCCAGAATATTTGCAAGTCTGAGTGATTGTAAGTCTGTGTGAGACTGTGCCTAAGTCTTTTTCTGAGAGTTTATGTGTACGTGAACCTACGTATGTGTTAGTGTGTGCATCTTTGTGTTTCAGTCTCTGTCAGAATCTGTGTATGTGCGTACGTCTGTGAGAATATGTAGTCTAATCTGTGAAAATAAGCGACTATTTGAGCTCACCTAGTTGTGGTTGCACGGGTGGAGCTTCGACTCTTTGGTCCCGCCTCACAGCTGTCAATCAACTGGTGTACAGATTCCTTAGCTTATTGGGCTCTATCATATCTACATTTGAAACTGTGTATGGAGTCAGCCTCCACCTCATCACTGCCTAATGCATTCCATTCGTTAACTACTCTGACACTGAAAAAGTTCCTTCTGACGCCCGTGTGACTCGTTTGGGTACTAGGTCTCGGTTTCCACCTGTGACCCCTTGTTCATGTACTACATGTGCTAAATAGTTTATCTTTATCAACCCGTTCAATTCCTCTGAAAAATTTATAGGTGGTGATCATGTCATCCACTAATTTTCTGTCTTCCAGTGTCGTGGGGTTTAGTTCCCGTAATCTTTCCTCTTAGCTCATTACCCTTAGCTCAGGGACTGGCCTGGTGGCATACTATAAACCTTTTCTAACTTGTTTTGTGGTTGACTAGTTATGAACTACAGGCCGGAGCCGCATACTCCAGTATCGCTCTGACATAAAAGGTATACAAGGTTCTGAAAGATTCCTTACACAAGTTTTTAAAGTCAGTTCTTATGTTTGCCACTTGTATTTGTGTAAGTATGAATGTGTGTTTACTTTATGAGTCTCTTGAGTCCCTTGATGAGTTTTTTCATGAGTTTCTCAATTCTACGAGTCTTTTGTCGCTCATGCGCATGAATGGCATTGCAAACCCGATAGAGATAAGATATTAACTGATAACGGGCGATAAAGGAGATCGAATTACAAAGGCCACCTTTAGGCTGTTACCTAATGTCAATGGTTGACGTTCTGTAATTCCCATAAATTTGACACGAACCAATCAATGTATTACGGAACTCATCTTTCAAAAATGATAGTAAAGAAAGTGATTGGTGGAACGTACATGAACGAAAGAACAGTTGAACCCCAACAGGTTTCACGTTTTGTATGATTGAAATACCACAAATGTCATGCCAAACACAGCAACTATACAAGCTGACATGTCCTAGGACCAAATAACCAATCCTTGGCTTAATATTCGCCATCTTAAGAATGGGTAAGTTAGGTATTTGTTGTTGTCTAGTGTCTCGTGCTCTTTTTTCAAAATTATTTAGAGAAAACGTGTTATTTTGTTGGGGCAACTGCTTATTTGTGTACTTTTTACCCATAAATACTGTCAGATTTGACAAATGGACAGGACATTAACTATGGTACCAGCTCAAATGATTTTAACTTTTATAACAAGCACACAATAAAATAATAATCATTCTTCTGCTATTTTGAACAGCAGCTGATTGGAAGGCAGGATTGGAGCATATGTGAAAGTTTCTCTCTTGTAATACCACAGTTGCTTGGAAGGCCAGGCTGGAGCACTAGTGGAACAATCTCACCGTCGAGAAACTTAAAGCCGAGTAGTCAAGTGAAATAGCGAAGCTTCATCTGTGTCAGAGTCACTGTTGACTGGGTAGTGGGTCGAGACCCTCTCATCGTAACTCTAGGCACATTGTTAGTAAAGGAAAGGGCTTCATGCTGATACAATTTAATGATCGTTTCCATTTTACACTTTCATTCTGGTCTATATAATCTCTTAGACCTCTATCTCACTTAACTTTTAGGCTCTTGATTCAGTGCAACATTAGAAGTGAACATCAGAGTTTATCACTCTTGCATAACATGAAGGGTTTGAATCACTCAGCTCACCTCCGTCCTGTAGACAGAAATGGTTGACCTGTAATAAGCATTCCTGTAAAGCTGTATTTTGAGCCCTGGGTTGTCTCGAAGGGCATTTAAACGACTGAAATAACCTACCAAACCACTGAACCTAAAATTTCCAACACAGTAATAGGAATGATAGGCCTGTCATAAATATCCATAGGTTTAATGTACTAGACATACATGTCAAGCCTGGCTCCTGGGCCGGGCTTGGGGAGTAAAAGAACTCCTTGAAACCCATCCAGGTACAATCCAGGAACTCTACTAAACCTAGTAGGATTATGTTGCTGCCCTCATTCTTAGGGCCTTCACAATAGCAACAGAACAAAAAGTGGATATTTCTTATGCTGCAGAGTTCACCTAAGTACAAGCCATAGTAACTATATTTACTATCAACTATTGGAGGTTTCGAAAGAACGCCCATACTACCCGCAGATTCTCATTATCTATACCATTGAACGCAAACACCTGTTAGCCATGCACTAACCGTAAGGTTCAAGCACCCGCAAACTTTCCTTAATGCACTTTCTTAAAAAAATATTTGTGAATGAGTAAGAATAGTTTACAATATGGTGATCGATGCAAGCTTTGTTAAGGTAGAGTAATTGCCCATTATTCAGCATACCTCACTACTGCTATGCTCGTTCTAGCTGTGTCCAGTCTACCCATCCTCAGGGCTGTGCACGTCCAAACTGTAGCTAACTGCAACCCAATCTATAGCAATGCATGTCAAAGCCGGGGTCAACCTGATCAGGTTTGACCGCAACCTGAGCCGTGGCCAACCTCAGGGGGGCCTGACGGCCGAGTTGACAGCTCTCGGTATTCGTAGTCTTGAGATTCCGGGCTCGATATCCGGCGGAAGCGGAAACAAATGGGCAGAGATTCTTTCATCCTGATGGGACTGTTCGCTTATCAGTAAATAGGTACCTGGGAGTTAGACAGCTGCTACGGGCTGCTTCCTGGGGATGTATTCCCAAACGCTCTCTAATCAACTGTAGTGTAGGGTTGGGAGCCTTCGCTTGTCCCAGACCCATCGTGGGGGGACTCCGACATTCCAAGTCCCGAGACGTGAAAATTGATTGGCTCGTGGTTGAGTTTGCTGCATCCAATCAGAGCTCGTTTAACAAAGGCGCGTGTTGTGGTAACCAAACATGTTTGGCGGGGAGAGAAGTCTCTTACCGCACGCTCCAGGCGGGATGAACCCACCGAGGGTGATTGTGAGGACATAAACAGCCTCCTGAGAGCAACAATCACCTGAAGGAGGCTTCTTCCTACCGACCAACACATCTTTGCCATCCGCAGTTGTCTGAAGCCTTTACTCTTGCCCTCTTTACACATCGTGCTAATCTATCACGATACATATATTACGATACATATTAATATACTCTAAAATTATATCCCAAGTATGTATTTATGAACTGGAGCAACACTTTCGCAAAGTTGTTTCCACTAGTGGTGCAGAGGCTGGAATGTGTCTTTCGGGGGCAACGCGCCTGGCCGCGCCTGGGGGGGGGCAACGCGCATGGCCTACGCGCCTGGGGGGGCAACGCGCCTGGCCTCGGGGGGCAACGCGCCTGGCCTCGGGGGGCAACACGCCTGGCCTCGGGGGGCAACGCGCCTGGCCTCGGGGGGCAACACCCTTGGCCTCGGGGGCAACGCGCTTGAGTTTGGAGAGTCTATGGCAGCTCGACAGAGACAGTGAACTGTATTTTCTTGATATTTCTGAATAATTATATAATCCGCTAAGCTATTATTGAAAATATTACTCCAAGGGAAATAAAAAAAACTTACATGTTACTCGCATATGATTATTTTCGGCTCTAAATTTCTGATCCTCGCATTCGCTCTATAGTGTCTAATGGGCACAATGAGTATTTAAGATAAGAAAATGTAAATTTTGTCTGTTGCAAATCATATCTTGAAATTGTGTTAACATATTTCGATTAAATTGGTTACCGTGGCAGCTTTTTCTTTCGCTGTATCATTTCCATAAATATTAATCTAAAGTGAAAACAATATGATCAAACAAGATTATCAGAAGACAATTACGAGCTCAACTTCCCTGCAGGAAGCGATCAAGACAGTTATAAGATCATCAACTATCCCCATATTGTAGGATGGTTTATCATACATGGAACCAACCCGTTCTCGCAAATTTAATAAGTCAATATTGACTTATTAAATATGTGCATAGGTGACATACTTAACATAATAGATACCCTTAAAAAGATTCATAGAAAACACCGACCTTACCTAACCTTGTTAGTATCTTAAGATAAGCATCTTATTGCTTCGTAATTACAATTATTACCTAACCTATAATAGGTATAGGTTAAGTAATAATTGTAATTACGAAGCAATAAGATGCTTATCTTAAGATACTAACAAGGTTAGGTAAGGTCGGTGTTTTCTATGAATCTTTTTTAAGGTATCTATTATGTTTAGTATATCACCTATGCACGTAGTTAATAAGTCAATATTGACTTTACGAATTTGCGAGAACGGGTTGCAACGAACATACAACAAAAAAAAAGAATGGGGTGTCTAGTCTACTAGATTGTGCTATAAAAGTTCAGGTTGATTGTGAGAATATCTTTAAATATCAGTAAGTGTATGATAATTTCACAGCTAAAATTATTTCATGGTGTAAAATTATTGATAACAGGGTTTTGCCATAAAAAATATTTTTGAGGAGTATTGCGTAGCTTTTGTTCAAAATGTTTTCAGCCGGGAGATTCATTGCCTGCCATAAGTAACGATATCATAGCCTAATTCTGGCAATTCCAATGTTTCACTCTTTGGTGAATGTTTTATGTTTTCCGTCCATATACTTCTAATTTTAAACGTACCATAATTCTTTATAATATTTATTTCTGTCATTTGAATGCTGGTGGTTGTTATTTTGTCAGCCCTAGTTTCTTAAAGTTGTGTGATTTTGAGAACTGAGATGGAAAACCTAGGTCTAGCTCAATATACATACTTTTTTTTTTTTTTTACATTCAGCACAAGCTGGTTTGTCTCTATCATCATGTAGGAAAACACCTGTGAGATGGTATCGATACAAAACAGATTCTGATTTTTTTTTCTTTACGTCAATTATAATCTACATATTATGGTAATATATTGCTAGCATCTATTTTGCATGATGGGTTTTCAAGTGCTTGAAAAGCAGACCTTAAAGCACATACAATTGCTCCTGTATTTTTCAGTGTATTGTGGCTAATTATAGTGCAACTAAGTGTATGTGAGTGGCACTAAGCCAATTTACTCTCACATAAGTAGTTTGTTGTTTGTGTGGAACTAACTAGCTGCTGCAGTGTGACTTGTTGACTGTTGAACACAGCCACCTACTGATGCCTCTGTTCAGCTACCAATATACAGTCACCTGACAGGCAACTGTTATGAGGTCCAGCCATGGGAAGGTCAGTCGTTTAGCCGAGTGGAGCTTTAATGAGCTTAACATGCATAACGCTCCGGATAAGAGGCCGCCGAACATGCTCTAATATTCATTATGCGACTCGCAGTTTGATAATGTAATAATCGTCTTATACGTTGCAGGTGCTGATACAATGAGTCTCGGCTGCCGTGGAGTGAGTAACGATGCCTTGAGGAATCAGCGACCTGAGGCATTATAAGACATCAATGATCAAATCTCACTCCGAGCAAGCATCCACTCGCCTCCATGTTAGTTTCCGGTAAGATAAGAACATCTTCAATGGTTGGTTGATACATTCTCAGGCACTTACGGTGTACAACTCTACTTATTAAGACTGGTCGGAAGATCGACAGAAGATTATTGTACTCAATGAGCTATTCCCCCATTGTCCAAGTGGGTGGGCAAGTTTCCTTCTCTCATAACACAGCCCTACACCAAGTCTGTCCTCATATTCCTTCCATGTGTTAGAGCAAAGCTGGTATTACAATTTATCTTGATAAATATCTTACGTTTTTAACTAAAAGACAAGCAACGGTGTATGATAAAGATTGTTGGTCAGCTACCTGAAATTTCTTCTGTTATAATACAGAAACTTTATCTCATTCTGTAGCCAGGAGAAACATCCGACAATACCCGTACCTGACCCAGTTCTGTGATCCAAGCCAAGTAATCATTTGTCCATGCACAGCAATCCTCTGGCCTCTTTAATCTCCTCTCTGCATGAAAGCATATCTTGAGATAAGATGAACCATCCATGCACAGACATGTCTGAAAATTAGATCTTGGCTCAGTATATTGTTTTAGAGTTGTCCCGCCAGTGTGCACTCATAGTCCTTCTACTGTCGGTTATATTTTCTAATTATATTTTATTTCTGTAGATTTCCTAGAGCCTGTAGGGAAGGCTCCGCTATGGAAGGGTGCGGAGGGCTCAAGAAACCTGACGGTGGACCCCCGCGTGGAGGACCTACGACACGCTGCCTACGGCGTCGTAGCTCCAATTATCGTCTTGGTCGGGATGGTGGGCAATCTGCTAACCATTATGATCTTGAGGTTACCGCAGTTCAGAGGTAGGTTGAGTCGCAATAGCACTTGGTCTAGAAAGCGAGGCTCCCAATCTTTGGAGCCACGTAAATCTACGTAAGAGAATTTCCAAGTCTAGATAGGTGAATCTCCTCCAGCATTAGGCCAACGAAGTGGATTTCTCCATCTCTAGGCAAATCTCTTAGTAACTAGACCCAGGAAGGTGATCTTCACCTTCCTGCGTCATATATATATATATATATATATATATATATATATATATATATATATATATATATATATATATATATATATATATATATATATATATATATATATATATATATATATATATATATATATATATATATATATATATACACACACACACACACACACACACACACACACACTAGTGGAAGGTATACAGTACCCATCTGTGGACAGTAAACAACTGGCATTCGAGAATCAAGAATTAGGAGAGAAAGAAAATTGTCTTACATAAAAGCAGAACTATCAAACAATAACACAGATACAACACTTGAAAGAAAAAAAATTGTGATGACTGAACGAAACATTAAAAACAACACACACATGAGCTTGTAATAGATTTCATAAGCGATGCCAGAGGTCTCGCAGCTGAGACCAGAAGTCCAAGAGGCGCAGCCGATACAAAAAGTCCAAGAGGCGCAGCCGATACAAAAAGTCCAAGAGGCGCAGCCGATACAAAAAGTCCAAGAGGCGCAGCCGATACAAAAAGTCCAAGAGGCGCAGCCGATACAATAAGTCCAAGAGGCGCAGCCGATACAAAAAGTCCAAGAGGCGCAGCCGATACAAAAAGTCCAAGAGGCGCAGCCGATACAAAAAGTCCAAGAGGCGCAGCCGATACAAAAAGTCCAAGAGACGTAGCCGAGACCAAGAGACGCCGCTCATAGTGAATAGTGAATATAATAGATGGAGACACTGGGGGGGAAATACACTAACGCTGTCAGTAGGAGTCGCAGATAACAGAGTTAAAGGAAAAGTATTTAACACTATAAATGGTGGACTTAAGGAAAAGGTGACAGCTGTAATGGAGGAAACCAATCAGTGCCTGATCTCGTCAGGAGGGATAATCCATGACCTGATAAGCGAGTACACACACACACACAGCAACCCGTTCTCGCACTTTCTTACAGTCAATATTGACTTATTAAATACGTGCTATGTGACACACTAATTTATTGCGAATATTTTAGTTTACCTTTAAAAGCTTCATAGAAAACACCGACCTTACCTAACCTTCTTAGTATGTTAAGATAAGCATCTTATTGCTTCATAATTACAACTATTACTTAACCTATACCTATAATAGGTTAAGTAATAATTGTAATTACGAAGCAAAAAGATGCTTATCTTAACATACTAAGAAGGTTAGGTAAGGTCGGTGTTTTCTATGAAGCTTTTCAAGGTAAACTAAAATATTCGCAATAAATTAGTATGTCACATATGCATGTATTTAATAAGTCAATATTGACTATACGAAAGTGCGAGAACGGGTTGCACACACACACTCACATTCACACACACACATTCACACACACTCTGCTGCCAATCGAAGCAGAACTTCAGGAGGATCTGACCCCTACCTGTACCAAGAGATCCACAATTTTCCAGGATTGTTCACAATATTTATATGCAAGTAAAAGAGAGAACACGATGCTGAAGGACAATGGATTACTGTATTCCAGATATATGTGTAGAAATAAGAGAAAACTATTTACTTTATTTTCTATGTATTATATATATACATACGATAAAACTGCTTAAAACCACGATTCTTGTCTTCCTGGCTGCCCTAACAGTTAGAGTTAACTCAATAATTTTGATTCACAGCCAATTACAAGAGATTATGTCATTGTTTAACCTTTCAGAAATGAAAGTTTTAATGAATGAATCCGAATGGTTTTTGCATCTGATTTGAGAACACATGATTGTTAACTGATCTCTTTCAGATTTATTTACTGAGCACTTGTTCAAGTCTTGTTTAGTGAGCTCTTGCTCATTACTGAGAGCGCTCTAGTTCTTCTGGTTTAGCTTTGGTTTACTTATTTACTTAAGGTTTACTTATTTACTTAAGGTTTACTTATTTACTTAAGGTTTACTTATTCTTGCACAATATAATTCAGCTCTTGCTAAGTGTTTATTGAGCTCGCGTTAAATCTTTAGTGATCTCTTGTTAATTTTTTTATTGAGCACTTATTCCAGCTTGGTTAATGGTTAATGCGTTCTTATTCAGACCTTTTAAGGAATCTCTTGTTCAGCCTTACTTGGTGAGCTCGTGTTCAATCTTGTTTTGTGGTCTGTGAATCAAGGGATATGGTGAGCTTTTGTTCAGAATTTGTTTGTTTTTTAAATATTGGTTAGCGAGGTCATGGTCAGACTTTTTAAGTGATTTCTTAGTCAACCTTATTTAGCGAGCTCGCATTCAGCCTTGTTTAGCGAGCTCGTGTTTTGGCTGATTTTGTCAGCGGTTTTCAGGATTTCTAGTTACTTCTGACTCGGCCTTGTTTAACTAAAGTGTTAATAAACTCTCGTTCAGTCCGGTTCCTACTTTATAAATGAGCCCTGGATCAGGCTAGCTTAGCGAATACTTGTTCAGCTTCATCTAGCAACCTTTTGTTAAGGCTTGTAAGATTTTGTTCAAGCCTTAAGTGAGATCTTGTTCCGTTGTTAAGGCTTATTTATCGATCAGGTGTTCGGGATTGTTGAGTGAGCAGTGTGTAGGAGAGTTAGGACAGACATGACTCGTTACTTCTTGAAGTTACCGGGGCGAGAATAGACTCATTGAGGTTGTTAACCACTTGGGTAGGACAGTAGAGCGACAGCCTCGCTTCTTGCAGGTCGGCGTTCAATCCCCAACCGTCCAAATGGTTGAGCACCATTCCTCTCCTTCAGCCTATCTCAAATCCTTATTCTCATATCCCTTAGAAGGGCTACGTAGTCATAATGGCTTGGCGATTTCTCCTCTTCCCGTAACTTTTCGCCTAATTACCTTACCTTCCATCTATTTTCTCACCCTATAGGTCGTGTTTGTTACGAACTTGACCAGGACGCTGAAGGTAAGGAAACTATCAGGGAAAAATAGCCAAGCTATTACGATTATATAGCACTGGAAAGGGGTCAGGACAAGGATTTGGGATGGGATGGGGGAAAGGAATGGTGCCCAACCAATTTGGACGGTCTGGGATTGAACGCCGACCTACATGAAACGAGACGGTCGCTCTATCGTCCAGGCCAAAAGGTTGCGCTGCAAACGGTGTGAAATGGTAAAACAAAATAGCCTTCGTAACAGTGAAGTATTTTTATGCATCGGTTTCGATAGGCTAATCGGGTGCGTACGTTTGTAATTAGGCATATATGTTGCCTATTATTCGGAGTGGAAAATCGAGAGAACAGGTTTGCATTTACCTGGCTTTGGCAGCACTGAGTATCGCTGCAGTCATATATATTCTTTATTTTTTTGTGTAATTCTTGAATTCGTTAATAAATTACACCCAGTATAGGTAGGAACCAACGGTGTTTATTGCCCGTTTTTATCTGTTGTTTCAAACCTTCGGTATTATTGTTATTTGTATAATTATTATTTTTATTATTACAGAAGTTACAACGAAATTTAAAATATTCTAAGGTCTCGAGAATTGACACTTTCCATTATTTTAACAATTGTGCTGTTCATGTTTATGAGGTATTTCCTAGTTTTTATATTGGCTTTGTAGTTTTTTTTCACGCGCCCTTCAGTTAGTTTCTAATATATTTCTATTGAAAGAATGATAATATCTGGAGAATTTTTAAGGGTACAATAAAGTGTTACAATTTAGTGTTCACGAGACAAGACGTTAGAGCCGGGCGACTTGAAGACTGGACTAACAGGTACTCTTGTGTTTCCAGGTGTGACGTACACGTACTTCCTGGCACTGGCCGTCAGTGACTTCCTGGCACTGGGTTTCAGCATCTCCATTCTCTACCACATCATCATGGGCGGCACACCCCACTACTCCGAGGCCGTGTGGTTCTCCTACTACGAGCTCCTCTTCACTAACATCCCCATGAGCACTTCTGTTCTTATTGTCGTGTGTGTGACCGTGGATAGGTTCTTCTCTGTCTGTCGGCCTACGGACTTCAAGCGAATCCACACGAGTCGTAATGCCCGGGCTGGGATTCTAATCTCTGTGTTAACTTCTGTCGTTGTGTGGCTGCCAACTTGCCTCCTGATGGATCCCAAACTGTACGATAAATGCGAAACATTTTTCTTTGAACCACCGGACAACCGGACATGGTGGGTGGCTTGCATTAGCTCTCAAACACTAAACAGTCCCTATTATATCGCCTACAGGTGGTTAAGACAGATAATTGTCACATTTATACCTATCATCATTTTACTTGTGTTGAACACACTCATCCTCAAGGAGTTTACAAGGCTTCGCAAGACGAAACATGAGATGTCAAGGGGCCAGCCGTTCGCCCAAGATGGTTGTGTGCCAGAGAGTAGGAGTAGAGACGATCAACACCTCATTTCCCTTTTAAAGGCGGTGATGATATCCTTCTTCGTCACCCTAGTTCCTTCAGGAATCTGCAATGCCATATACACCGAGGTTCTTGCAACGCGGATGACGTTCGAAGTCTTCAGGGCTGTTTCAAATGACCTGGAAATTCTCAATCACGCACTCAACTTTTACATGTACATACTGTGCAGTAAACCCATACGAGCCGCTATCAGAACTTTCTTCCAAGAGCACAAATTTGTCACCGGCAAAAGATCAGCCTCCAATGTGGTCACAGTCGTCCGTAGATCCATCAAGAGAGATCTGAACAACGCACAGCAGGAGCCCACATCGACCAAGGGGAACGTCATCCTTCGGAAGCAGACAGTCACTTGCAGGGATGATCCAACTCCCAGAGAAAAATCTTCGACTGTATCGAAAGATTCGCAGCAAAGTGATATTTTCTCAGACTCCAGCCTAGATAATACTTCCGAAATAGGTAGATGTTCTACTGATGGTAGACATTTGCGATGTAAACCCATCAGCGGCTCCACGGACACGCTACACTCCTGGGGAAGCTCAGTACACTGTGAGATAACGGCTGAAGAGGCAGAAGGGAGAGGAGAGACTCCACGAGGGAGCCTTGATTCAGGACGCCACGTCGCCCCTGCGAAGCGAGGAGGCTCGCCACTAGCCCCAGAGGATGTCACGAACACAACCTCACCAGGAGGGAACACAACCTCACCAGGAGGGAACACAACCTCACCAGGAGGGAACACAACCTCACCAGGAGGGAACACAACCTCACCAGGAGGGAACACAACCTCACCAGGAGGGAACACAACCTCACCAGGAGGGAACACAACCTCACCAGGAGGGAACACAACCTCACCAGGAGGGAACACAACCTCACCAGGAGGGAACACAACCTCACCAGGAGGGAACACAACCTCACCAGGAGGGAACACAACCTCACCAGGAGGGAACACAACCTCACCAAGAGGGAACACAACCTCACCAAGAGGGAACACAACCTCACCAAGAGGGAACACAAACGCTCATGTCAACCCGACATTCAGACTTGTAGAGGCAAAAGAACTGACCTGACACCTTAGTCTTGTGAGCTTCGTGTGACTGAGTCAGTGATCTGTATATACGAATATTTATTTTTTGACTATTAATTTTTCCCATGTTATGATAAAAGGTAATACAATTATGAATATAAAAATAATATATGTTATTGTTTATTGAAACAAGGCACGCAGAGATTATTAAACAATTACGGACTTATGATTGCAGTTAAATTTCCCAGGATGTTTGTCAGCAGTTGTGTGGTAAACAGTGAATATAGTTTAACTTAATACGTAATGAATATTAAAAATGTATATTTAGAAACACATTACACAAGAATTTTTTATTAAATCTGTGACTACCCCTGGGATTAAATATGCACAGTTAAGTCTGTGTATTCTGTCTATATTTCTCTCTCTCTCTCTCTCTCTCTCTCTCTCTCTCTCTCTCTCTCTCTCTCTCTCTCTCTCTCTCTCTCTCTCTCTCTCTCTCTCTCTCTCTCTCTCTCTCACTACTTTAAGTATATAAAGATTCAATAAAAAATTTATCAGATATAAAATCAATTTTACGTAATTTAATCATGACAGATGAATCATTAAAATTCATTTATTGAACAAACAATGCATTTGACTCTAGATCCATCCTTATACTATACTTATGCTCTCATATTCTCTGGTAAAGATGTTTGTCAGTTTGTGCGTCTTAGAATTTATTAAAAATCTTGCAGGTAATTTTATATACACAATCATTACGATATAAAAATTTTATTAAACTGAGGCAAGACTTACCATTCTTGACAAAGTTCATTCTCTCCGGGTGTGCTACTAAGCCCCACTCTCACGACCTTCTCCATTACTTTACATAGTATACAAGTTAGGGACACTGCCCTACTCCTCAATGCTTTGTCCCCTTCTTTTATCTATGGAGAGTACACTAGCTGTCTTCCAACATTGCTGTAGGTCTCCGGTTTTCAGTGACGTATTAAACTCCATAGAGAGTGGCACACACACACACAGTGCTTCTGCTCTCACCTATAGCATCCATGGTGATAAGAGTCTCTGGTCCAAGAGCTTTTGTCGTGTCCAGTTATAGCAGATGCGTTCTAATATCATCTCCCGTGTACTCACCTAGTTGTGCTTGTAGGGGTTGAGCTCTGGCTCTTTGGTCCCGCCCCTCAACTGTCATTCAACTGGCGAACGTATTAAACGTGTGTGTAGTGTGATTTAATTTAAAGTGTGCTATCGTTTGCTTTCACTTATAAGCAAATTGCTTTTAACTTTTGCAGTAACCTGTCCAAGACTGTCAGCGTCCACTGTACCCAGAGCTACTGTGATCTGGCCTTAGAAAATATATACAGTACATACATTAAAATCACGTGGTCGTATGTAGTATTTTCATCACACAATAATATATTGGGCAGCAGGAGGAAGGAAAGGGAAGTATCTTGAAAAAGCGCCAAGCTCTTACGACTATGCAGCACTGGAAGGGGTCAGGATAAGGATTTGGGATGGGACGGGGGGAAGGAATGGTGCCCAACCACTTGGACGGTCGGGGATTGAACGCCGACCTGCATGAAGGAAAACCGTTGCTCTACCGTCCAGCACAAGTGGTTGGACTGGCCAGCAGGGGATCAATATTTATACCGACGAGTTCATTCATCTTAATCATTATCACAATCACTGTCATCATCATCGACATAATTCACATCATAATCATCTTCATTATTATAATAAAAAATTATTATCGCCATCACTATCAACAACATTTTGATGAAAATTATAGTGATCATAATCCATGTCATCATCATAATTATCACCATTAATTAGGACATTCAGTATGTAAAGGAGAAATCAAAATCGCGACTGAATATAATGAGATCCATCACAGCGTCCTGTCTCTGAGCGGGACATCAAAGCGTCAAGAATGTTCAACAAACATGACCTTCGTTGCCAAGTTGATAACGCGGCGTCTGCCTTACTCTCCTTGCCAGTGGGCGAAGGTTGACGTTTAATCATAACGATGAAATGTTTGTGTTGTAACTGTTACTCACAGAAAACGTAAAAGTTCTTATCTTAAGAGGGGAAACGAAACTAACGGCGGTTGACATAGAAGAGAGGAGTACCACATACATTCTGACCAAGGGATTGACTACACCAAGAAACAGATAACTTAAATGTATAATTAATGGAGCACCGGACAGGAAGGGATCCAATAGCAATAGGTCGACCTATTGTAAACACCATTAAGACATTCGAAATTCTAAATACCTCCACTGAGGAAGATGTAACAGAAACACATGCAGATCTCGTTATAAAGGTATCGTGAGAATCTTTGTCAGTAGACTAAGATTCAGGCTCTTCAATTAAACAAAAGAATCAGACTAATCCTCTATCTGCTACGCACCATTGCACTGATATATATGGGAACAAACTTGGCATCTGACAGATTCACACACGAATCAGTTGACCAGCAGAGACAACAATCTGGAACTGCAGTTAAGGCAGAATATTTTTTTAGTCAGTTTGAGACTATGAAACGAGTGATCAACTTTACAAATATGTTCTTAAGGCTTAAGAACCTGCTCTTGCTGAACACCGACGGCACACTACCACACACGCAGACTCAAGAACTGCCACTGAAACCTGACAACAAGGACACATCTGCAGGCGATGAGTCACAATAACGTGGCTAAAGTAAGTTGACCAGACCACACACTAGAAGGTGAAGGGACGACGACGTTTCGGTCCATTCTCCAGTCGATTGTCAAGTCAGAATCGTCTTGAGAATGGTCCAGAACGGACCGAAACGTCGTCGTCCCTTCACCTTCTATAACAATTTTCATCTGATCGCAAATGTTACAGCATTAAGGAAGTAGGATCTCTTGATTGTTCCAAGCGTTAGTTAGACATAAATATGAAAGAGTTTGGGTGGATATAAATAGCAGCTGTCTCATATGGGCCAAAAGGCCTTCTGCAGTTACCTTCATATGTTCTTTTGTTCAAATGCACGCACACAAACATCTAGATCGAACACACATCAACTGGGTTTCAGATACTAGATAAAAGTCATAGCAAATGAACTGCAAAACATGCAACTAATTGGAAGAATGTAAATACCATAAAGTCTAGCATAGATAAGGGAAATAATTAGAGACTGAAGAATGCAGATGTACATAGTCACACAGGAGCTGAAACATGTGGCTCTTCGGGTCGGCTCAAGAATTCCGCCAACTATAAACTCCTAACTTTAATGAAAAGGAACAAAAGAAGAACAGAAGAACATCTACTCAGCATGAAACTTGAACATCCATATGCATGGGAAACAGGTTTACATGTTCTAGAAGCAAAAACAAAAAGGTCAGCATTGTGGAGAAACGCTTGACAGACCACTGTAGCATTATCTAACAAAGTGTAGAGTTAGAAAACCAAATGTGAATACCACTGAGGTTTAACAGTACAAAAGACGTTGACATAACCTTACTGAAGCCAACATGTATCAATCTTTATTTTCATAATCAGAAATATTAACTCTTATTGCTTGAAACCAACTAGGAATGAATGCAGTATATAATAATGTACTGCGTATACTGTTATACTGTATAATAGTTTTTTCTCTCTGCAGGAACACAACGAGTGATCAAAGAATGCCGGAGGATCCCCCCCCCCCCCACCAAGCTCGCTAAATACTATACAATATGAGCCGAGTGTTCAGAGTGATGTTGATCTAGGTTCCTGAGTCAGCTGAAGTCAAATGGTTATGTTGTGAAGCAGTTGTAGTTGTAAGAGCAACAACAATACTAACAACAACAACAAGCACCTGCTTTACCACCACCCAGAAGCTGTCATAACACTTGTAGCACCTGCTGTAATAGCAACACCAGCAGCAGGAACAATAGCAACAGCTGCAGGAACAGTAGAAAGAGCAGCAGCACTAGAAGGAGGAACAATAACAATACCACCAGCAGCAGGAACAGTAGCAACAGCTGCATCACGGGCAGCAGCAGGAGCAACAACAGGTGCAGTAGCAACTCCAGAAGCAGCAGTAACAACAGCAGTAGCAGCAACAGAAGCAGCAGCAGCACCACCACCACCACCAGCAGGAGCAACTGCAGGAGCAACTCCACCAGAAGGAGCAGCACCAGCAACAACAGCAGAAGCATCATCAACACTAGCAACATCAAAACCAGCAAGAACAACAACATGCATAATACAGTTGTATATTTAACTCCATCCTGTTGATATCCTCTAGCCATTGTTGCTATGCATCTGAGGATCTTCCCATCATGCTGTTCACCTGTGTTCAGAGATATATTGTCAGCACCATCCACGCCTTGGTTATCATTGTTATATCTAGTGTGATCTTGCCATCCATACGTTGGTTATCCCCGTATTATTCGTGAGTGTGATCTTACCTTCCTCGAGGCGGTTCCATACGTGGTATTCGTACCTGGAGATGACGTCACCATCCTTGAGGTGGTTATCTACTTATCTAGTTGTGACGTCACTGTCGAGCCGGTTATCTTCGTGATATCCATACCGCGGGTGTGACGGTCATCATTGCCATGGGCGGTGTTCGAGTGCATCGTAATTGATTATATCAGGCCAACCTCACACACACACACACACACACACACACACACACGCAACGTAACATTGGACTGCAGGTAAGGCCGGGTGTTCCAGTTGGCGATTGGGTTCCTGTGTGTCCTTTTGTGCTCATGAAGTGGTAATAGAATTTTATTTGGAAAATGTTTCGGTAACTGAATAGTATTGCTATTTCCTGTTGTGGGACCTGCCTGTGTGTTGGGGGGGGGCGAGTGTGTGTGGCCGGGGAGTGTGTGTGTGGCCGGGAGTGTGTGTGTGGCCGGGAGAGTGTGTGTGGCCGGGAGAGTGTGTGTGGCCGGGAGTGTGTGTGTGGCCGGGAGAGAGTGTGTGTTGCCGGGAGAGTGTGTGTGGGGCGGGGGACTGGCGTGTGTGTGGGGGCGGGGAAAAGCGTGTGTGGGGCGGGGTAGCAGTCAGCAGATGGAGGAGAGAGAAGAAATGGGGTAGCGAGCATCCTTCTTAACCTCACAGCTCATACGCTCATTTCTCTCTCTTTCTCTGATATAGGGGAGGGAGAGAGAGAGAGAGAGAGAGAGAGAGAGAGAGAGAGAGAGAGAGAGAGAGAGAGAGAGAGAGAGAGAGAGAGAGAGAGAGAGAGAGAGAGAGAGAGAGAGAGAGA